ACGACCTGGACCCCCGCCTGGGCCTCATCGGCTACTGACGACCTGGATCCCTGACGGACCCTCGCCTGCTATTGATGCCTCCCTCCCCCAGATCTCACTTGTTCCTGACGACTCTGGGCCTTGTCTGGGCTGAACGGGCCCATCCTTGGCTCTGGGCCCACCTGGGCCTCCCCTGTGCCTGCAGGCTCTGGGCCCCACCCCTGCAGTGGGTGCTCCTAGTGTCGATGGTCCCTCTCTGGGCCTCACCTGAGTGTAATTGGCTATGATGTTGGCCCGTTCCAAGGCCAGCAGGGTCTCTAGGTCCTCTTTCATGGTGCTGCAAACCAAAAACATCCAAATAGGACCCTACATGAAAACCTCCAGAGAACAAAGGGGTCTGCTCTCTGGGGGCCGATCCCCACTCTGTCTGAGCTGAGAGTGGAGGAAACCCTCTAGCTCTAGGGGGGCACACTTGCTGAGCTGGCAGATCACACACGGGCTCCCACTCTGTGGCACTCCCACCCCCAGACTCCTTCCCAGTCACTGTCCTTGGACATGCTTCACACCGAGATGACAGGGTCTCTGCACCCCGTTACCAGGAGCACACGGGGGGTCTGGGAGGCTCCGGTAAACTGCTGACCTGATGCTTGGTGTGGGGTCCCCCAGCGCAAGGCTGGCAGCGCGAGGCTGGCTGGAACGGCCGGCCAGCGAGTGTTCCTGTGGGTTTGGGGCGATCAGAGGTGTCTCTGAGATCCTACAAGTGCAGGCGATAATGGGCAAAAAGCAATGAGCTGGACGTCATCCACATGAATGACTTTGCAGCAAGGGTGAGAACAAACTCCCTCCCTGGATGCCAGGATGGTGAATGGCCGAGGAGGGGTGTGGGGGAGAGCAGGAGGGGCTTCGTGGTCCCTGTTGGGGAGGGGCATGCTGGCTCCTGGCCCAGGAGGCCAGGACCCGGGCAGCAGGGGGGGCAGACCTCCTCGCACAGAGCTGTGGAAGGGCTGCACGTGCCGGCTCACGGTCAGCGCCCGGGGGTCCTTGGCCACCGCCCGGGAGGCCACGCCGCCCCCCCCAGAGCCCGAGCCCCCATAGCGGCCTGAAGGGAGCGGGGAGCAGCACACACTCACCTGTGACCTGTCGCTGTGGGAGCCGCACCTCCTGTCTACACGGGGGTCGTGGGGCGAGCGGGTCCATGTGAGGCCGAGCCAGAGCCAGAGAGTGCGAGTGCATCCAACTGCCTGTGGACACAGAGCCGAGGGGGCGCCAGGCAGCGGCGGAACCCCAGGGCGCCACCGTTCCGTCCAGTGGGGTCCCGCGTCATCAGTGCACGTCAGCGGGGTCTGTCAGCACTAGCCCT